TGCTCTCTTAAAAAGTATAAGAATATACACACACATGTATATGCGTAACGAATCGTCATCGTGAATGAGACACATTTTCATATACATACGCGTGTGTCAATAATGTATACAGTATTACGATTAGGGCACGCGATAGCGCGTTCAAAGTCACGCGCACAATGTAAACGCAATCAGGTACGAAAAAAGAAACGTATATATCGTGTAAATAACTTTCCATATATATATATATATATACTTTTTTTGTCATAATAGTAAAACTTACGCGCGAATAGCCGCTCTAAATTCTTTCATCTCATTTTTTCTTTTCTATTCATAATAATTTTTCTTTTTTTATAATTTTTTTTTTTTTTTTTTTTTCTTCCTTACTTTCGATACGATTAATCTATACCCTTACCGTTACACAGTTGGTCAGAGTTTGATACAAATTACCAAGAGCTCGAGGACTCGCGAGAATGCCCTGACCGTCCCTACAAATACACTAATCCCCCAACAACCNTTTTTGTTTTTAACCTTTTACTCTCGTTAATAATATATAGCGTTCACTAAGCCTACTGATATGGGTTAGTTCTTTTTTAAAGCACTTTAAATCCAACCTACGCAGATACCTCCCTATCCTCTCGTCCACCCCAAAAGCCTTCCGATGATCGTACAGCGCGTAACATATACTCACCCCGCGTTTTCGGAAATTCATTATTCCATCTGTCTCCCCCACACCCCGGAGTGTAAAATCTGTACACTCTCGGTCCCGTTGTTATCACCGCTAAAGCCCCGTGTTCCTATACCGATCTGTCTCTTCTCGCGGGAATCAATAGCGCAATAGATCGAGCGGCTGTAATCAATAGCGCAATGCATCGAATTTTTGTTCATTGTATACGCCAACAGGACATCATAGGGAAAATCTGAAGAATCGCCAAGTTTAACAGCCCATAAAATCTGTTTTGCGAAAAAAAAGAAAAAGAAAAATGCAGCCGGCGAGCAATAAAAATCATCCTCGCCTATCTATTTAACATAGGAATTTAGAAAGGAGGGTTGGGGGGGGGGAGTTCTGATGATGATCTCAGAGGAAAAGTACAATGGCACGAGGGGGAGCAAAGAGCGTGAGGTATCTGGACCGTGGAGGAGTGCAGCCGAGCGTGAAATGGAGGAGCTGCTGCAGTGCGCCTCTCTCACGTTCCTCTTCCTTCCTTCCTTTGCCCCCCCCCCCCGTGCCGAGTGGGAAGGAGCCTCTGTGATACCCTGTACACCCGATGAGGTGGCCGAGGACACTATACCGGGGCATTTCCTTCCTCCTTCCTGCCCCAAAGTGCGGTCCCTTTTTCCCCTTTGTATGCTGGCGCTCGTCAAAATCGACCCAAATTGGGTTATTTTTTGTTTTCGTTTCGTTGTCCTCGGTGCAATTTGAAAATTTACTTTCCCAGTTTTCCCGCCCTCGCGGCGTGACGGTCGCTTTTTTTCGTTCGGAATCGAGTTCGAGTCCTTCTCCCCCATCTTTACCCGCGCACGCGTTCATGCAGTAGCCGCACGAGTATACACGGCCAGCGCGGCTACTTAATTCAGTCCCGAGATGAGTTTGAGAGATTTTTTACCGAAGTCATAAAGTACTTTGCCCGTACCCCCGTTTTTTGATGGGTCCGTCGCACGACGTGGCCTTTCTCGGTCAACTGGAGAATCTAAAACGCCGTAAACCGCTGGTTGGCAGTTTCCGTTCCAGGTGCCACGAGGTAGGCTATACGCGACTCGTACGGCTCGGAGCGCGGATGAGACTCTTTCTCACGATGAAACGGGCCTACGGGGCACGATGGTTTTGCCCCGCCAATGAAAAACTTCCTTCTCCGTTCCGACTCGGGGCACTTTGACTCGTGGAAAAAACAACAAAAAATACAACAACAAAAAAAGCGCAGTCGAACGTACAAGACAGCTTGAACGGAGGAAAAACTTCTGTAATGCCACTTGCTCCTTTTAGTCCCTAGAACCGCAACGTGGTACACTCGCGGAGAGACAAGCGCAGCGGTACATAGGAGAGAGAGAGAGAAAGACTCGCCGACGGAGTGTACAGAGTCACGTTTGAATTCGACCGGTCGTTGAACCTCGTACTTTGCGCTCCCTGCTTGAGTCGGAAGGAGAGGTTTTCTTTCTCCGCGGGGCCCAAGGTTTCCGGGCAAAAGGGCCCCGATCCCGTCAGACGAGGACAAGGAGAGGGCAAGGGGCACTCGTGGGTGTACGACAAAAAAAGTCGCGGTGATTCCTCCCTGCGATCGGAGACAGATGTATCGCTATACCTTTGTACCTGCCTTGGACTTTGTCGTTGTGGTTGTCACGAGCGTGCCACGTGCTGTCTCGTGCTCTGTTGCTCCGTTACACCTTTTTTGTCTCACTCTACGCGCGCAAAAACCTGGTGCGTTCAGTCGTCGGGTTTACGGGTTTGTTTTTTTTAATTTTTTTTTTTTTTCGTTTCGGTCGATAGTAGAGCCACGGAAGGTGACGACCCGGTGATTGTTGGACCACGGCTAGCCGATTGCTAGTCCATATTGACTGTATTCGCGATCGCCCTTCCGAGATGTGGGTAGCGGTGTGTATGCCACGGTTCATTCCGAGTGTCGGAGCAGATATTCTACTCGGGGATGTAGTTGACCCGCGCGTTTTGGTACAGACAAAGGTATTGGTTTATCTTTCCCGTAAGCTTGACGGAGCAAATTTTGCAAACAGATGGTGTGCAGGTACAGTTTGACGCTGTTGAAGTTTCCAAGTGAGAGGGACGGAAAAATGAAATTCAATGCACAATAATCGCGCGTCACGTCGTTATATGTATTATATATACGCGGTACACGGTAAAAGTGGTCAGTCTCTTCGGACGAGGCTACAAACATCTATAGGTAGGTATATATATATGTATACATGCGTGTGTACATACGCCTTCATCTAGCTTGCCGAAGTGGTTCTTTCGTAACATTCGCGCGGGCGAGTTACGCATAGGAACATCGAAAATTGTTGAGTTTCAGAAAAATCGTTATTTTCTCCTTTCTTGTAAAAAAGTCAACTGTCCGGTACACTAGCTCGAGATCTTTTTTTTTTTTTTTTTTTTTTTTATTGTATCCGAAAAACCACACGAGACAGCACGCAAATACACGTCGCTTTTCTCGCATCACCGCGTGTACGCTATACGCTTCATCCAACTACACTTCCATGTCGAGAAGGGAAATTTTTTTTTTTCTTCACCTTGTCATTTTGTTCTTCCCCGTCTCATTCGTATGATAATATATATATATATATATATAGCATTTAAGTTCCGCCTATGACAATATATACGATATACATATGATAAATAAGTGTATGCACTTAAACGCGATTCCCGCTATTAAAGACTTAAGCCTACTGATATGTTCGCATTCGTTTACATAGTAATATCATAATTGTAATGTTTCCCTTATACTCGTCGACCGATATCTGTCACCATCGTTCGCAAATCCCAACTACGGCATCATCCCCGTGACGATGTCCCATTACACCGCTATACCATTATTATTATTTTATAATAGTACGCGTGTCCTGATGCATTGTACGATACTTACTTACGCTCCCGCAAAGCTAGTCCCTCCTCGCAAGGTTGAATTCAGCCTCCCGACCCTTCTAGCTATGCATAGGACATTTTTCCTGCACACATTGATGCACGTTCTCGTCCTCGCTTCCCCAAATACTTTACATCCCCAATAACAAGACGCGACAAAACGTTAAACACTTGTTACAATTTTTTATTTGTTTATTTATTGAGGAATGTCTTGAACATTATTTCACTAGTACATCTGCCTGTTTGACGTGTGTTGAATAAAAAAAATTGTTACAAACCTTTTTGTTTTCTTATACGTAATTTCGATATGATCGAGTCATTTATTTTCATAATCACGAATGATTATATAAAAAACTGTAAGAAAAGAAGATACAACATTGTAGACTATGCTCTGTCCGATCAGAGTAATCTTGTATTGTTTTTTTAATACACAATTTATAATATTTCACAAGAGTGTTGACACTAAAGAACTTTTATAAAAGTAGTTTTAGGATTTCAACTCTCTCCGTTTCATAGACATTAAACTTGAACGAAATTGTCGATGAGTGTAAATGATCGATGAAATTGACATGAAATCGATATTACTTTTGAAATTTTGTATAAGTACTGCGTAAGTAGTTATAACATTTAAATGAGCTCTTTCTTCGTGACACACTGTAGTCGTGCCTATTAAGCAGTAGAACAGCTCGATTATAGTCAGACAGGCTGCAGCTGATGGAGAAATAAAAAACAAGCCTCTGTCACAGGGACGTTATTTTTTTTTTTTTTTACGGTGCCACGTGACAAGTTTTATTGCTGCTCTCAACACACCTTGCGAAAAATTAATTCTTTGCTCGAATGTTAAACTCACGGAGATAACCAAAATCGCTGTCTCACGCTGAATACCGAAAAAAAGGTGCCCCGTGTCGTGATATCGACAGCTGCGTGTGTGTTTGTCATATTTTCTAGTATCTCGTTTTTTTGCACATCAAATTGGTAAAAAATTTGCTCCAATCATTAATTTCGAGAGCAAAGCTTCGACCGCCTCGTTTAATGTTTGATAACCGCAAACGTTGACGATTACACCCGTACATTGTGTACACCCACGTGTCACGTAGGTACTCGTTGATTTAAGGACAAATGAAATCGCAGGAACTTCGATTGAATTCAACTGTAGTCACAGGTATTTTATTGTTTTAATACATAAACACTGGTTATAATAACGACAAAATTTGCTACTATCAGCTGAGTGATTTAATAAATAAATACGTTTTTTTTTTTTTTTTATTTTGGAGGAAGTGATTAAAATTGATGAGTTGCACATGTACAGGTGAACAATGTGCTCGATTCATAATTTTTTAGAAAAACCATTATGCGTCAATTGCAGCGGGCCCAATATGATGTCCCAAATTTCGTCTTTGGTGTATANCATTGTATTTGCACAGGTTAGAATAATAATAATATCGATACGTATGTATATACTACAAACAAGTAGCCCAAAAAAGGAAGAAAGGAAAAATATTCGAGCGAGACCGAAGAACCTGCCGGTCTCCCTATTCCTGTACTCGCTTATACACGTTCCCCGACAAAGCTGATAAAAAAGCCGCGAATCAGTCCCACGGTCCTCCTTTTTTTTTTTTTTTTTTTTGTAACTCTCGGCTAACTGCAGTTCTCCAAGCTCCTTCGTCCCGTTGCATTACCATACTACGCGCCCCGTGCGCGCGAAACGTCACCCTCGCGCCCCAGCGACGTCGCGACAACCCTGATGGTACATCTGTTGGCCTCTTCGCAGTAGCCGTGACGGCGCTTTGCTGCGATAATCGTAGCAGTGGTAATTGTCGTAGCTGTTGTTCTCGTGGTCATAATGATCGTCCGTGGTGGTATCGTTCGCCTCGAGTTGGTGTTGCTGCAGCTGTTGTTCGAGCGACACGACTCGGCGACTCCTTTCGCGCCGCGGTAGCCTCACATGCCGTTTATGTCGATCTTAAAGTTGCCCGTTTTCTTCTCCCTTGGATCCCTGGAACGAGACAACATTCATTATTATCTGGCACGCAGATGTGTGCTGTTTGACATTGTGCCCTGATTGATTTTTTTTTTTTTTTTTTATTTATTAGCAAAGCAAAAAAACGGTCGGAAATGTGGTTTGGATCGTATAATGGATAGCTTTCAACACCGTAATAAGTATAATACGTAAGAAATTAACTACTCGATAACTCCAAATGTTCCGCTTAAGTTGAAGAAAATAAGCAAAAGAAACGTAAAAAGTTCGATCTAATGTATTAGGAGTGGGGCAGTATTTAACAGAGTTGAAACACTTTGAGATGAGTTTGTTTTAATTTTGATTGAAATTATTTTAACTCTTCATTAAATTGTTCTAATTAAATCTGTACTTAGACTGTCCCTGTGTTTTTAACAGTAGATCAAACAAAATACTTTAAACGAGTTTCCGTTTCAAACAAAACATTTGAAATATTCAAAATTCCAAGTAAAAATATTTATTCACTTTATTTAAAACGCAAAAATGTCAAGTATTTTCATTTAAAATGAATGTGAAAAACGTAATTATTTTTATCAAAAAGACTTAAGCCTACTGATATGTTCGCATTCGTTTACATAGTAATATCATAATTGTAATGTTTCCCTTATACTCGTCGACCGATATCTGTCACCATCGTTCGCAAATCCCAACTACGGCATCATCCCCGTGACGATGTCCCATTACACCGCTATACCATTATTATTATTTTATAATAGTACGCGTGTCCTGATGCATTGTACGATACTTACTTACGCTCCCGCAAAGCTAGTCCCTCCTCGCAAGGTTGAATTCAGCCTCCCGACCCTTCTAGCTATGCATAGGACATTTTTCCTGCACACATTGATGCACGTTCTCGTCCTCGCTTCCCCAAATACTTTACATCCCCAATAACAAGACGCGACAAAACGTTAAACACTTGTTACAATTTTTTATTTGTTTATTTATTGAGGAATGTCTTGAACATTATTTCACTAGTACATCTGCCTGTTTGACGTGTGTTGAATAAAAAAAATTGTTACAAACCTTTTTGTTTTCTTATACGTAATTTCGATATGATCGAGTCATTTATTTTCATAATCACNCTACTATTAGTATGTATTGAGGTGGTTGATAAGCCTCAGTGTATAACTAATTAAGCTCAATTATCATTTTTAAGTATTAAACACCGTTGAAAACCTTTGCATTTGAAAATCAATCAAAAATATAAATTTTTACCAAAATGTAATAACTTGGTAATAATTTCAGGGATTTATGAATGTACAAAAAGCACAGAAAATTGTTTTGAAAGTAGGATAACTTGAAACCGACACATAAAAACCTATGTATTTATGTTTTTTACGTGCATATTGATTTCATCTATCGTACACGAGTTTTTTACAAGAATAGCAAGAACGATTTTCACGTAAGATAGAAAAATGTCTCTTTATGGCACCCTTGGTATATTGTTACGTAGGAAAACGGTAGCTTGGGGTGCACGTGGAAAAAGAGACAACTAAAAGACTTACTATTCATATTTTTGTATGTGACAGCTTGTCAAAATATACAGCCGGATACGTGATTATAAATTTCGCTATTTGAAATACTTGCAATTATAATTAAAAAGAAGTAATCTTATTTCAAGTACCGCATCATCAAATCATAAAAAAAGTTTTTTTTTTAAATATTTAATGGGACATTTTACAAAAACTTTAATATTTTGATGCATAAAATGAATTTTTCACTATTCAGTGACCAGAAATTTTTTATTAATTTTTCTATGTTAAATTTTAATAAGGGCCAAATAAGTTGAAAAATTGAACATGTTATGTTAATAATTAATGGAATTCAAAAGCGTGAAAATTAGGCTTCGCAATTCCAACGAGAAGAACTTTTTCAAAAAATTTTTTATAGCTCTAAAGTATAAGAAAATTTGTCCAACACTTGAAACTTTTAGATTACAAAGAGAAAAATATTAAAAACCCATTATTTAGGTGCCATAAGCCGATAAAATGAAATTTTTAAACGGTTCGCGTAACGGTAATTATATTTTCGTCTATTTTTTGCATCTCTCAGCCAAGTGAAAAATTATCTACCGACTTGATTCCAAAACAGTATCCAGGGATAATTAATGTACACCTTTTAAAGTAAAGTCCCACCTCGAAGTAATTACATCCGTCGTTTTAAGATAGTTCTTTCATGACTCCCGAATCAAAGGTGCGACTATCAAGTTGATGTTAATTAATACTCCAAATTAAGGAGGCTTCCTCGTGACAGTTTCCGAACTACGACCAGATGAATTTAATAGTTAAAAGTCTACTGAATCCAATGAAATAATTATTTATATCGCTTACCCTGCGAAATTTCGAGATATTATTAATTTAATGTAGCGCTTTCTAACACGTATTCTTATGGTGGAGCTCACACACGCGATGAAAACAACTTAAAAACTCGAATAAATCAACAGTTTCCGTAATTAGCGCACACGTTTTGTAGAAAAAAACCTCCTCTTTCTAATGACGCCTAGCAAAGTAAATGTTACCCTGGAAGATTTCGAGATATTCTATTAAAAATTGATCAAGTCATTGTATTTGCACAGGTTAGCCTATCTTTTCTTGCGTCAGTGATGCCAACTATACCTAACTTTGTAGCCTACAACTTAAGTTGGTATCTCTGCACGAGGGAGCCTTTTTTTTATAAAAGTTAGTAGGAATGATTATGTAAAATTTGCGCTTAAACTCAAAATACCAGCAGTTGATACTTGCCTGTGCTTTGAACATAGGATACGAAAATATATGCCTGTGTTTCTTTTAATATCTTTTGATTAAGTCCGTGAACATGTATATTTCAAGATAGCAGTACATTTGTAATTGCGCAAGCTTTATTGTGCTAGTTTTTTACTTAATAAAGTTTTGTAAATGAATAACTAGGCTACAACTTTCAGTAAAAAAATGCTTAGTTGCCATAAGAGCACATGTTTAGAATTAAATTTTCATTCATCGTTTTTTTGCGTTTATATTCGTCAGCCTACTCTAAAATTTGGAGGGCTAGAGTAATGTAACTTCATAATTAAATGATTCCTCAAGGTTTATGTTATTCTATTCGTAATCATTTCATGAAAGAATCAGCTTGAAAGCCACAGATATCATGAAATGTCGCAATTTTCGTAAAATGATCCATGTACGGCTTTGCCCAAGTCTAAATACGTGTATGTGCTGCTCCTCGACGGAACATTGACGTTTTTACGGTCGTACAATGATACAAGTGCAAAGTACGTATATATAGGTGTCACGGATAGAAAAAAAACGGGCGGTGGCGCAAAACGAGCGACGCTTGGAGGCGCGCGAGTTAACGTCGGAGACTTGATGTAGAGCACCGATTGTGGCGAGAGCACCGGAGCACATAGCACTGCTTAACTGTGCTTTTCCACTTATTCTTTTCTGTGCTTATTGTCAGGCTCGTCGGCGACGGACGCGAAGCGCGAAAAATACGAGGCAGACAATTATGGGATAACAGTAACGTCGGTGTCCGAGCGTAAGAAAAGTAGCGGATCACGAGCTTCAAGTTGTACGGTCGTGGGAGCGAAAGATTTGCTGTTTTGGCGGGGCTTCGTGACTGAGGGAAAGAAGTAGCCGAGGATAACAGAAAAACTATGTACAAACGAAGGATACAGAGGCCTCGGAAATTAAATAAGCAGCGCAGGTTGAAAACAAATTTTTCTCATCCAGTCTCGCGTCGCGATCATGGGTGTAAGGACATCCGGAAGAAAATAGGTCATTTTTTTTGCTATAAATTCTTGATCCAGCGAAAGCAATAAAACGCTCTGAAGACCGAGGTATTTGGGTCTCTAAACATACACTTTTTCAAATTTTTTTTTATTTGCAAAGTTTTATTCAAAACGAATTTTTTAATTTGTTTCAACGCTGCTTTAAATGGTTGACTACCTTAAGAAATTAAGAGACATTTTCAGATTAAAACGTTATTTATAGATTTAGAAAAGATTCAAGTGCGTCAGGTTTCAAGACCTTTGTTTCGTCAGAAACCACGAAATCGATAAAACATGTTTTTCAACTTCAGCACGGCCTCTCATGGAAAATTGTAAAAGAAACTACTCCCTCGTTATGAAATTAAGGGCATGCATAAGTATAGCCTATTGTAACTTTTTTCTCAAGTTTTCAAGCAGTTGTTGACAAATATGGGTGCCCAAACCATGTTTTTCACTTGATTCAAATCAAAGATGTGCAAATACTTCATTTTTAATTTTACGACTATGAGACCTTTGCGTTGTCAATTTCCAATAAATAAAGCGATTCCGAGAAGGAAAATTTATTCAGATTTGTTTTGACGCTATTATACGCAAAACTATATTTGAGGTAACGGCCTGTTTACAGCGGAGACAGCAATCGACAGCAAAAGTCGGCAAAGGTTAGGGAAAAGTAGGTAATCAGCGCCACTGGCTGTTGCTGACGTTTCCTGAGTTTTGTTGCATGTTCCTAGCAAATGTTGTCCCTTGTTGATACTACTCTGTATACCTATATACAAGAGAGAAACAGCTAGCAACATAAACAGTGGCGCTGATTACCTATACCTTTCCTTAACCTTTGCCGACTTTTGCTATTGGTCTCCACTGTAAACGGGGCCTAAGTCGATACAGTAGACTATATATGCGTGCCCTTCAGATGAAATTATGGTAATGGTACAGTCGGGCATTCTCTTGTACTCCCCATCAAATCAACCTCTTAAAACTCAAAAGATTGTACGCGCAGTTCACGTGCTCAAGACATTATTCGGAAATGATGATGTTTCGTTAGGTCGGCATTTACCCCACTTTTACGTAATCAACCGAGAGGATGTATTGTTTACGCACTGTAGACATTAATTAATCAGCCAATTCAAAACCACGTGACTTAGAAACTTAGAGCCCTAAATACTGCTCAAAATACTACAAACCCGCGTGGTTTCGAATTAGATGGTGAGCGTAGTTCTAGTGCAATATAGATGCTTGTGCCATGTACGTATGTGCGTTTAGGTTATGAGAGCAGCCCACTGGTGACTTTCCTTTTTACGCTTATATTGGGATTCCAAAAGGTCACGTGACCCCCGCGATATATATAGCAAATTGGGGGAAAAATGAGACAGGCCTTATGGGTGCAGTTCTATTTTTATTTTTTTTACACGTTCAACGATTGTAATACGATTAAAGCCTTTCAATAACATGTATTCGAGAAGATGACGATACTTTAGCTATTTTTTATCTTTTAGAAGGCTTTTATCTTATTACGATCGTTGAACGTGTACAAAAAATAAAAATAGAATTACACCCATAAGGCCTGTCTTATTTTTCCCCCTATTGGTTATATATATTGCGAGAGTCGCGTGACCTTTTGGAATCTCAATACTTCTAAGACTGGGTGGACATGACTCACATGACCAATTTTTGAGAACAATTTTTTTAAGTATGCCAATTGTTAGGGGACGCATTTGAGATCCAAAACAACAATTTTAAGCAATAAAATTGTCCCCGATTACGTCACAAGAAATATAATTGCAAACAGTTAATGTAATAAAATATAGTATCTCGGGTCAATTTTTTAAAGTATGCCAAGTATATAATTGCTAATTTCTACTTGGCACACTCTTTGCTGGTATAAAAAATTAGTAGCTAAATTGCTAATTTGTATTAAGTATTCTAAGTTTGTTAAAAAATTAAAAAAATTTGTAGTAATTAGCAGTTGTTGTTACAGGAATGGTTAGAACTTTACTTGGCATACTTTAAAAAATTGTTTTCTAATGGTACTTTTGTAATGCATTTTGATTTAAATACAAACTATAAACGTATATATTGAAACAGTATGCCTGTAGCATCGGATGGATTGTTTTATGGTTAAGTTGTGTCAAATATACTTGGTATACTTTAAAAAATTGGTACGAGATACTATATTTTATTACGTTTTGCATTCAACTTTTTTTATGGTGTAACAGTGGGCAAATTAATTTTATTAATTTAATTTGTCGTTTTGGCTCCCAAATGCATCCCCTGACCCCCAAAAATTGGTTTACTTTAACAAACTGTTCACGAAAATTGGTTATATCCGCCTGGTCTACCTACACATGATTTTAACTAACAATAGAAAGGCGAGAGTTCAAAGATAATTACTCAATTTTTATTTAATTATTCAATTTAATTTAGCTTGATTAGGTTTTTTAAAATTTAATAATTAAGGCCAATCGAACCACCTGTCTACAGTGCTCGAATATACACTCGATCAGTTGGGTAGAAGAGGGGGTAGATACCAACTTAAGAGCTGACCAAAGAATCATTTCCGAATGGAACTTAGGAAAAGATGGTACCGTGATGAAAAAAGCTTTTTTTCATTTATAATCGTTCAAAAAAAGAGTATATCTTAAAATTTATAGCTCGCAAAACTTCGAAGATTAAAATAATATCGTTAAATTCGTGTAATTTTAAATTATTCCACAAAATCGAATGCTTACTTCTGATGCCTCACACTGAGTTTGAGACGTTCCAAAAAATAGATCTTTTTTCAAGTACTTTAATTTCTTCTCTGAACAATTTCATAAAACTTTTTCAAACAACATTATAAAAGGAGTTGATAAAAAAAATAGAAAAATTCGATTCAAAGTTGAACATTAACAACTTGAAAAAAAGCCGAAACATGATCGACGGTTCTCAGAAAGAGAAAGCCAACTCGAAATTGCAGCAAACTCGGATTTTGGTTGAAGAAGTAGCTAATTTGCGTAAGTTTTTTTTTCCTTAAATTTTTTAATTTTCTGTATTCTTCTTATTCACTGTATCATTCAAAGTTGCCACGACAAAATTAAAAAGAAAAAATTATCTTCAAATTAGCGAATTTATCGTTAGCTTTTTCTTTACTGTAATTTCGCGTTTTACTGTTTCTTTCACCGAGCCAACGCTTAAATGACTTGTCCAAAGTATTTTATTTATTCTGTATAAAATCCCCAAAATGAGAAAAACGTAATTCTGAAGATGGGGTTTAAAAAAAGCCTCATTTTTGGGTATCGAAAACGTAATTTTCTCTGGATTTCCTTGTGTACGCAGTAGTGTAGTCGTGAGAAAAGCTTCCGGACAGAGTTTTAATCTCTGCGTTCGAGCAAATAAAAAACAAAAAACAAAAAAAAAGATAGGAATAAAACCTACTTCCATCCAGAGATTAGTTACGCCCACCTCGGCCATTTTCGACTTTGCGTATTCGATTCTTATGGCTCCCCGGTCGGAGGAGACTAGGAGGGAGCCCTGGAGCGTGGCCATCGCTTGCGCGGCGTAGCGCACGTCTTGAAATTCGACAAAAGCCACCGGCGAGCCGCCCTTACTGTGCATACGAAGCCGGGAGAAACCAGGAAAACTGTGCACAAAGTTTTTTTTCAGAGTATATTTATTACAGAAATACAAGCGGTATACAGTGGTAGAGCGTAATGACGTGTGTGCATGAACGATTATGGCATGAACACTGTAGGTAAAAGGGGACAGATATTTGCAGACTAACATTAACAATAATAATAATAATAACTGACGGTTTGTATATTTTTTTTCTTTTTTTTTTTCTTTTCCAAGATACGTAAACCAAAAGTATGGCAAAAATTGGTAGGTAAAATGTTAAACGCAAACTTTCTACGTGAAACCAATTGTCAAAACTGGTAATTCAGTAAAACATGCATTTAGCTTAAAAAAAAACTAGAGTCGCAAAACAGTTGTCAGCAGTTTGCACGCTTANATAATAATCATATCTGTTCCCTCACTGTACTCATCTACTGCGTGCGATTTTTAATTGTTCTATCGAGTTGTATGGGTTACTTGCATAATAACTGCTGTAACGTATACACAGAGAAAGGATTTTAAAAAAAAAAAATTTTTCATATTGTTTTGCCAGCGCAAAAAAATTTTTTGAATCACAAGATTTTTAGTATGTACCCGAAACAGTATAAAATTATCGGCGACCGGTTGCAGTAACCAACAATTGACGGACAGTATATAAAATTACAGTATACGGTTTTTTTTTTTTTTTTCTTTTAAATTTTCTTTCTCCGTAATGTCTATCAGTAGTGGATATTGACGCCTCGAACTAAAAAAGTGCTAATTCAAAATTGCCTTTAAAAAAACGCTAACTAAATATTTTGACAATAAGACATTTTTGAGTGGGCGCTTTCTTTGACTTAAATTTCTACCGATCGGAGGAAGAACGCGCCATTTTGGAAAACTCAAACTGTCAGTTCTAAAATACTTGTGCTGCACGATGACAAGTTTTCCAAACTAGCCTTCAGATTTTTAGTCTCAAGATCCATAAATAGAAAGTTTGAGGGAAAAAACCACGTTTCTGCCATAGCACTTTCTCTCTCCGAATCGCACATCTATTATTTTTCTCTTTTTTAAAACTTTTATTTAAACAGTTCTAAGGAGTAAGTGTACAGTGCTAAAAATGTTTTCCCAGTCGAAAAGCAGACGTAAGCTTCTAGATAACTGCAATTAGATAACCTCGCGATACAGGTATTCATCGCACCGTACAAGTTGCCCTTTTTTTTGTTTTTTGTTTTTTAATATAAACAATACTTTCAAGAGGCAAAGCAAACTTTACCTCCAATTAAATTATTTATAGTTCAACATACAGTCCGAACATGTAGCTTTTACTCTCCCATATAAGATCAGCGGAAACGATATCGTACCTGGTAGGTACTTTGTAAGTTTTGTTTGCCAGCCATGAGTATTACAAAAATATACGAACTGTTATGTAAAATCCCTCGATATCACTTGGTCCACTTCTGACCATGGTGATCGTCGCGTTACCTCGTCTATTATGCGAGTGTTTTGCATTCCAGAACTGTACACTTTATATTTATAACTTGCAACATCGATAAAAGGAAGCGTTTGCACGTGCAACATGTCATACAATGATTGTACCGGTGCTACAAAACATCAATGATAATTTAACACACGTAAATGCAGGAATAAAAGCGTTATTCGCCACTGTGGTGTGGAAAGTGGATAAAACTATAAAAAAAAAAAACAAAAAAAACAAAAGAGTAAACAAAAAAAATAAGAGTAACAGTATTCCATAATTGGACCAGACAAAGCAATATTGCAGCAGGGAAGTGCCATTGGAAGTACGAGACTGCTATTGGTAACGTGAACTTATCACGATAAGGAGACGACACTAAAAATATTAATTTACACTACTATAGATTGGTGGTCGGGTGAAGGTGCATAATGACTCTCTCGTATTGGATTTATCTTTCCGGCAAATAATTTTTGTTTGTATGATTTTCAGTTGTTGCATTAGGCATTGATAAAAAATATTTTTTCCTACCATGAGCATTTTTGAGAGGCTGGTGTGGCCTCGGTAGGAAAAATAGTATTAATAAATAATAATCAGCACAATATTGCGTAACGCAAAAGTTTTCGCAAGAATCAATAGAGAAATCGGTGGTTATATTCAAATAGGATTGTTCGGCAGAGCTGTCAGTAAATGGGAGTATTTTCCCGATGAATTGTTTGTCATCCGGATGAAAGAAAAGCCAAACGAATATTGGCGTGCTCGCAAATGGAAAACGCAAAGTATGATTAACAGTCCTATGGGTATGCTGCATCAAATCAGTTGGTGAAAATAACATTTGAAAATGGAAAAAGCATGTTATAGAGCGGAAAGCTCTTATCGATTCGCGGGCTGTACGAATATAGAACGCTCCGTTTCCAGTCTTTCGCTATTCCGTTTCGTTATTGATTTACGCCACATTGGGCGCGTCGAAGTCGAAAGTTTATTTCCATGTATACACACAAAGTACAAAATTGTCAAAAGATCGGCAAGCAAAAATAACAAAGTACATTTACATAATTTTATGTCACGATATTGCAATGGTTTGGAGGAAAATTAAAGTACGTACTTCATTTGTAATGAAAAAAGTCGTATCTCTGTTTTTGGTGGTAAAAAAAGGTATTACTATAAATGGAAGAGTAATAGTAGATTTTGTCACTATTGCGCATCTCTTCCAGGGGGCTGGGGTCAAATTGCGTCCTTTAAGATAACACTAATGACTTCTAAGATCGAGTTGCGTCCCCGTTAATTTTTTTATCTTATGGTCGAGTTCCACCCTGGTTATTACGCCTATGAGTCATAACTATTTTTTCGCCACACTTTATCTAGGCTTCGGACTACCAGTATAAGTACTTGGGGTGTTTAAAAAAAATTGTAATTTTGTTTAATGGAAAAAAGTTTTTAAGATGAAGACATTCTATTGAACGGTAGCAATCACTGTATTGGCTAAAATTTTTTGGACACTTCCTGAACAAATTTGACATTTGAAAATTACATATTATAATATTAAAAACGTTGTTAGTTGTTTTACAAATGAAACTATCAAATCTTGTCCAAATCGATGGAGGGGTAGGCACGTCATTTTCGATATAATTATTCAAAATATAGTCACAAAAGTTCTCTTTACTTAGACCAAGCTCTTGAATTTTATGCCACCAACTTTCGCCTCGGAGGAAACGGCAACCACAAATTTGTGCTTTCGGTAAGGTTTCACTTATTGCATTATGAATTGCTAATTCAAAGTCCAAAAAAACAGTAGATGGGTTAAATGATGAATATGATTTTTCACACTCAGACTTTAAAATAGAAAAGACTTTGCAATAAGTTTCTGTGGATTTATTACTTTACAAAGTAATGATAAGTAAGTTAAAAGAAATGAATAAACATGTTTACAATTTTTATTACTCCATCAATCTACACTTTTCATACATTTTCGTGTTATGTAAATTTCAAGTTTGAAGCCTAGATGAAATGTGCTAAAAAAATTGTTATGACTTATCGGTTTAATGACTCGGACAGAACTCGACCATAAGATGAGAAAATAAACGTGGACGCAACTTGACCATAAGATAAAATCATTGAGGACGCAACTTAACCATGAGATAAAATCGCCGAAAAGGGCGCTTGCCAAGTAAAGCTCGGGAGACTGCTGTGATCCACCTGGCTGGAAGCGCATCGGTGGCGAACGCTATTTTTCTGTCGAGAGTGCAGTATAAACGTCGAAATGTGACGAAAAACGCCCCAAGGTAGGAAAAATAATAGATCGCAAGACTTATTGAAGGAATTGGTTTTTTTTTCTGAGATACAAATAAAGACCACATTAAATACGCTTTTCTTGCTAGTGGGTATCTGTCACCAAATAAATTTTTGCAACATTTTTGAAATGAGGTAGTATCGTGGAGACAAACTTTGGTTCATAAAGGCGGTAGGGGCCTCAGTCAATGACGCCTGACGTCAATGTGTTATTGGTTTATGTGTGGTAAACATGACCAATAGCAGGTTAATAAGAAAGAGACCCACAACATACATACCTGGGTAAGAGTACAGGTAGCATCTCTACTGGTCATTACTGAAACTGACTGGTAAACCAAATTAACATAGTTAAGATAGGGTCATGATTTAATTTTTTTTATATCCCTTGTACATGTTTAATTTTTTTTTTTTTTTTTTTTTCAAAGCTACTAATTTTTTTCTCATCGAATCAAAAAAAAATCATGATTTTATCAGTCACCATAATTATTGTAAAATTAATTTTAGGTATAGTGAAGAGTTACGTGTGTATGTTATGACAGAAAAACAATAGTATTATAGCACATGTATTATATAAGTACAGCTGGTAAAAATAAGGTACCAGAGCCAAAAAATGGAAGTTAAATGCAAAACTGGTAAAAAAAAAGATTTCTGTGCATTAGTGTTGCGTACCCTAATATAAGGTAAATATTAGTTCATTTATGCATTATTTTTCTAAAAACAATAAGCTCCCAAAAAATCGATTATTGCCTGGAGAATTGGCAAACGTATCAGCCAAAATATGGTAGTTTGTGGAATGCATTTTCGAAAAAACAACTTCTTCAGACCCGACCCAGCACCACAGTACACCTGATTTGACAAAATAAGATAAGCCCTACATTACAAACTTGCTTCCCTTTTTGTAAAGTTCTTACACCCCCGTTTACATATTGTACAATATAAAGCTGAGATCTAATACATATAAATCTTTCTCTATCACAGCCATTTTTTATGATCTGCCAGCTGTATTTGTACCTATATAAGTCTTGCCTGTGATAACATAGGCACCTAATCTTCACTATATTAAAAATTAATTTTACAGCAGTTATAGCAACTAATAAAATCGTGACTTTTTTTTCAATGAAAAAAAATTTTAAACTTGAAAAAAAAAAAAAAGTACGAAGGATATTAATACACATAGAAAAATTAAATCATGACCCTATTTCAACCGTGTTAACTTGGTTTGTTTGCCTACACTAAGCCAGAGGTGCTACTTGTATCCTTACCAAGGTGGAGTGGATTTGTACGCATCTGACGTCATCTTGACTGAGGTCCCCATGTTTCTCTTATACGGGCCAGAACTTGTCTGCGATACTACCTCCATTCGAGTTTAAAGTTTCGTGAAATTGAGAGAATTCATTTCTTAGATGACCAGTTCCTCTTTTTACACCACAAAACGAGATGGCACCTTCTTCAACTTGAAAAGTAAGATACTACCTTTTTACTCGTGGGTGTCGATCGGTTGTGTATGGTTCTACAGTTCACAAGTTTGCAAGCTACTGGATGTAGCACAAAATTAGGTACGTTATTACATTATCCGGTTTCGTGCAATCAACATTCAATCAGACGGGTGATAATGAGCATGGATATGAAACAATAAAATCACTATTCGCTTTGAGCGCAATTCCGAAATCGCGCCCCCACTGGGCACTTTGAGAACGATTGGTCGTGGTTAGAAGAGGTAATTATTGTGAAATCGAGCTTCTGGCTCCATTCACTAGGTGGCCAACCCTTTAATGTCGCTTCTCTACAAGCATGTGGAAATCAATTCATAGTTCTGTCCTTTTCTAATCACGACCAATTGTTCTCAAAGTGCCCAGTGGTGGGCGCGATTTCGGAATTGCGCTCAAAGCGAATAGTGAGATGGTGAGAGATGGTGCAAAAGCTTACACATTAAGTGTAATCCTCCTACCCTCCTTCTGCTCCTACGTGTCAAGGGTCTTAAAAAAAAAAAAAAAATGGAAGAAATACTCAAATGCAAGTATGTATATCTACACACATGATAAAATATAATAAAGGTGCAAATCATTCATGTCATACTCGAGATCGTTGACCCCCAAGCGATTTTAAAAAAAAAAAAAAAAAAAAAAATGTAATTTCTAACCCATTCTCATATTGCATTGTTAAAGTGAGAAATTGTAGGTATGTATCACCAAGTTTACTGCCATTACTCTATTTCGTGGAAAAAGTAATTTATCTCCTTTAACAAATAGTACGTCATTACGGAGATACGCACGGTTGTCCGTACGAAAGTTGTTCCAACGAAAGTAGGCAATAAGTATACTGACAAACAGCTGCGAGTGAGCATTAGTGCAAAAATTCCGTGCAAATAGGTATGTTACAGTATATTACGCACCTAGTGAGCGAGGTTAAGAATGTCGCAGATTTCATGTAAATAAACGCCCGAGGCGAAGCCGAGGGTGGATAACGTGAAATCTAGGGCATTTCTTAACCTCCGAACGTGGTGCGTATACTATTTTTCTGCATACCCTCGTCGAAAGAGCTGATTATCTGTTTTGGAGCAGGGCAGATATGAAGCACTTTCGGTGGGGGTATACAGAAAAATGCAATTTTGTCCCGCGCGCACGGAAAGTGAGCAAGTAGCAGTTGTAGTGCGGCAAAAAAAAGCACGCACACCCACGCTATGATTTGAGGTTAGAAAAGTCGTGGAAAAACCGTCATACATTTGTCGCGCACCATATACAACTCGGAAGCGAAAGTCGAAGCTTGGCTTTCACATGTCTTACACGTGCATGTGCAGTGAGCATAGCACGCGAGGTACACATACATTGAGAGAAAGGGGGAACGAGAATACTTATATATTATGATGTATATATGCTCGCTGGTGCGATTAGTCTTATCGTGCAGCTGAGTGCGATTAAGGCCACGCGCGTATATGTACGTATACATATTATGTATCGCACGTATATTATAAGTACAGTACGTTTCAAACGTGCGTGGCTACGGAGGTTCCGTTCCATCTTTCACGCAAGTGCAAATCGTATAGGTCAAAATCTCCGAAAAATTGATCTTTAGATGCGTCACTTTGGCCATCACTTTGCAACCTCTCGCTCCTTTTATTTAGGGTTCATGGAATCGTGGTTGTACCGATTTAACTGTGGTTCAACTCTGCATGGAATGTCACGATATGTACTTGTAAAGAAATCAACCGAGTTTTAATTCGAGCACTCCCTTTTTAGTCGAAAATATTAATCAGGAGGGGTATAACGATCGTTTGAAAAATGAGGGTAAATGTCTTCTGCGTGAAAATTAGCGTGTTTCATCTCGCTTCAGCCATTTTCCAGATTTAATTGATGACTCTCGTAATTTTTCTTCTGCTTGACCTCTCAAGGGTGTGTTATTATGTTTTTTAATGTAAATGAAAAGCTCATAAGCTCCCAATGAAAAAACCATACCTTTTTCGACATGGTTCAAATTGTAGAGGAACTGTCGGTACAGTTTTCCGGACATGAAATCTCAAAGCTTATTGATCGTATCCTGGCTCTTATGAGAAAACGTAGTTATGAACTGTGGACTTAATCAATCGTAACATAAACAATTTAATTGAACAGCCCAATGTTTAAACAACTAGTATGTTGTTCCACATGATTAGGGACACATATTTACAATGATAAACTGATATTTTCAAATCAACAGCGTTACAATTTAGGAAACACTTTGATTAAAAGTTTGAAACGAGAAAAAAAATATTGTGCATGCGTTTGGTTTCGTAGCACTCATTTACTACATCTTGGGCCTTGACACAAGAGCATCCATGTACTTGCGATTCGACGATGAACCCAACTTCGAAATTACTTTTGTCGAAAAAAAAGGACACGTCTAGTCCTCATTTTTTCAGAGATTTTGACTCGTACATGCCTCTTTCCTTCCCTTTCGCGTACACGCGCGTATTTTTCTTTCTAAAATCACCAGTTCCCCTTCCCACGCGTTCCCCCGCGCACGGCGTCGCGATAGCCAAACGTGAGAAGCGCGACGTCCGCAACGGGTATACATATACACTTCCACATAAATAATGCAAAGGTACATCACCCGTAACAGCAAGAGCCGGCTCGTCAATTAAATATATACATTATTGCCCCAGCACTGAAGTCGTGGTGCTAATAATACCAAAGTCACAATGACTGACAGGCAGCCTCTCGTATGTATGCTCATTCCAACTCGCAATTAAAGCGGTACGTAAGGGCATGTACTAATATATTCTCCTCCCCGGTGATGCGAAATGTCGCGTTAGTCTGTCGGACAGCACTGGCTGCTACAGTACGAGTGATGTACGCGATTTCCAATAAACTTCACGATTATTTGAGTAAATTTTCCGAGTCTCCGTTACTCTTGGCAATCACTAAAATTGGAATGCAGGAAGCATTTTTTGGGAAAAAGTTTTGACACACAACTTTTCGGTTTTGCCACTACGCGCTAACAAAGGCACTCGGATACTTTCGATCGACGCGAAAGTTGTGACGAGTTTTCCTTTTTTTTTTTTTTCCTATAAAGCGTCATTAGTATTGTAGGGGAGAAAGTCGATGGGCTTCTGGCGATAAAGGCAAGTCGAAGGAAAAAAAAAAAAAAAATTATTATAAGCCCAACTGGACGAGGTACCAAAGCAGTAGTATAATAATCGAGTCAAAGGAGGCGGGAAAACGGGGAACAGCAGCAGCTGGTCTCGCCTTGGCCAACGCGTCCCCCTTAAAAAAAAGGGGGGGGGGACAGCCGTTACACCTACCACACAGCGGTATAATATATAGCAGCAGCAGCAGGTTGGCACGTTATAAGTATAAAGTACAAACACACAGAACATCGAACGAGTACGGAGGAAGAGAAAAAGAAAAAACAGAACATAATAGAAGAAAAAGAATATTGGGCGAACAGTATATAATAGGTAAGTATACTTGAGGTGGACAACGGTTGGGAGTACTGACCTGTTGAAAATTTCCTTGAGCTCGTGTTCGGAGACAAATTGGCCGAGGTTGGCGACGAACAGGGTGGAGCAGGGCGCGTTGCTGACGGCGATGCTCGGCTGGGACGAGGACGAGCCAACGGGCGAGGCGAGCGCCGGCGACGACAAGAAGTGCGGCATCGAGGCGTGGATCGACGTCAGGGCTGTCGGATGGGGCAAAGACATGGGCGCCTGCTGCAAGTGGTGAATCACCCCCGCACCGACGAATCGATCAGTTTTATTTTTTCATTTTCTTTTTTATACTCTTTACGTGCAACAAATATTGGTGGGGTATGCTTTTTGGGGGGGCCATTAGATAAACTCATTTGTGGGTTACTGTTAAAGTGCAGCGTCAGCACTACACACGTGTGGCCTTTTTTTCCTTTTGTTCGCGCGTGCGCCGGTCTCGTGACTTGGTGCTTTTACGCTCCGAGTACCCTCATGTGGGAATATTTCTAGCATTCATTTGTTTCTTCGGTTACGTATAAAAAAAAAAACACATTGATCTACAACACGTGAGAGAAAAAAAATTCATTTGCACGAGTTTTTACCTATATGTAAACGTTAAATGAAAACAAAAAATGTCGTTTCCGATACATCTAAGCTTTTTGATTTGCGAGTGCAGTGAAACTCGTTGTCTTTTGTAAATCTTTGGTGCTTTTCTGTTTTGTGTGATAAAAAAAAAAAAAAAAGAAAAAGAAAAAAAAGTTCATATAATACAGAGACTATCACGCAGAGAGCGGATGAATGTTGTGCGAAGAAAAAAAAGTTAGATTTTTAATGAATGTTTAATTCGTGTACCTAGAGTTTCCACGTTGTTTTGTTTGCTTGTGGCATTCGAGCAACAGTAAAAGTGCTCTCTGAATTTCTTGGGGTGAACGCGAGCTTGTTCTTGATGTTGAGAAAAACAGCGTGCGCAAGAAGAAACAAGCGCAATTTCCCAAGAAAGTAAAAAAACAATAGGGGCATTGACAAACAGAGGAGACTGTAACATGCGTACAGTATGAATAGTAATGGGGGAAAAAAAAAAGAAAAAGGAAAAAACGTGGCAGTAAAAATAAGAGCATCGGAGTTGTATAGTCACTAACGTGCATCGGGGCGCTCGTCGGCGGTTCCAGAGCTTTGTCCGCAGATAGTCAAAGGTAGGAACGTACGGGGACCTGTGGATGTAACGCGGGATGCACGAGGGTGGCGTGTTGCAGCGTGGCGGGCAACTCCCCCGCCGCGGTCGAGTAAGCCAATGGATGGTGCCAGAGCTCGGGTCCACCCGGGAAGAACGGGCTTCCTAGGGCTGTGAACAGAAAAAAAAGGGCCGGGCCGTCCAGAGTGCCCGGTGTTAGTTTTTCTTTTTTTTTTTTTATTTTATCTCGTTCATGCGCACCTGTACCACGCGTGTATTCCGATAAAACTATAGAGTGACATTTTTTGTTCTTCCCCACGAGCGGCGCAAAGAATATTTTTTGATATTAACAAAAGTGCCGAGAGGACTCCTCTCTTGTTCTTTTTTTTTTTTTTTTCATTCCTCCCGATCTAAAGGTGCGCCGCTGTGTCGGAGACTTTCCAACTCGGCAGTTCCGCAGCCTCGGTTGAACAAGAAAATAAGAAAACAAGACCTCCGAGCTCGCAACTACATCAAAGTGCAAAACTCCGTGCCCCGGGAAAAGCCGGAGTAACTCACTTTTGCGTTTTTCGCGTTTTCAAAGCCAACCTCGGCGGTGCTTTGCTCCGAATAAATTTCAGCATCCGTCTCGAGGCAATCCAATTCGAAGGACCGTCCGCGCGCGCTCGACCCCAAGCTCATCCGCTCGACGATCACATGCAACAGCCATAATTGATGTATATGTAATCGTCAACACGAGCGCGCTATCCTGCGCTACACGCAATAGAAACAACGGCATTACGATTCGACGGCGTGGAATCGGGTCAACTGTTGATCGATAGCCGAAAGAGCGCACGGAGAAAAAAAAAAAAAAAAAAGAGTGTAGCGCCCAAACAATCGAGAGGCGCGTCGGCAACCGTAATTATGATGATGCAACTGATGCGTCCCCGGCAGCACTGCTTTTCATTAACTAACGCGATGACGTGCACGTATTCGCGGAGGATCCATTCCCGGCTCGATCGCTTCATTAATGGAATACACTTCCCTAATTATCGAATCTCTTTCTCTCTATTTCTGTGTTTTCGGACTATCGGCGCGTCGCCCCCGTTTCAATTGCTCGCTTAAGTATACCAACCTTTGCGTTCACCCAAATTGGAACAAAAAATGACCACCGGACATCGAAAGCTTGTACGAACAAAGAACAAATTTATTCAAAACCTCGCTCTTTGCCTATTATCGATACACATTACGGCAACAAATGTACATTACCATGTTATTCGATCGAAGGGACTCGGTTGTTTTTTGTCCATTCTCTCTTTCTCTCTAGTTTCTCCCAAGAGGAAAAAAAAAAAAAAAAAAAAAAAAGAATACAACAATAAAACCCTCGCCTTCGGTGCACGATATATATTAAACACTCTTCCTCCCCCACGTGTAAGCACACGCGCGCACCTACACGAGCTCTCACGGCACCGCCCCCTCGAAGCGTCGCGTGACGCGTATGTATATACACGTCGCATCGATGCATCATGCTTTATTAACGTGTGCGGCCCCCTCCCTCCCGGCCACCCACGCACATACACACGGGAGCCCCTCACGTCTAAAGTTGACGCTCACACGCAAGCTTTCCCCCTTGTACCTATACGTGCACGTATACATGTACACATTGAGCGGTGAACTCTGCTGTCATTGCTTTATCGAGGATAGTCCGTACAGTCCGCACAATGTACGGCATGTATCCACCTTATATATACCCCCTCGCGTAATCAGAGTTAAATAACATGTAGGTCGTGGGTATATATGTATATGTACGACCGCGTGTCGCGTGTGCGTCGGGCTCGCTTTTTTACCCTTCGATCGGCGTTATGACAACCCCCACGCGCGCGCAAAACGGTATACATATACACTTGGGTGCTTGTATACAGAAGGAGGTAAGGACGGAGCTTTTCATTTTTCTTGTGCTTTTGTATGCGCGAATCGAGGTTATCGCGCGCATGCACACACGTGTACGAGGTATTCGTCAGCCGCGTGTACTGCAAATCGTTGGAATCGTGCTTGGTTGTCGCGTTACGGTATGCAAAGAGTCGCGATGAATATTGAGGGGAACGCTATCGAATTCCACCCGGTACTGATGCAATCGCGGGGGTGCTCGGATTGTTTTCATGTACGCAAAACGTTTTTTCTTCTCAATTGCCGTTCCAAAGAAATCAAAGTACTAGAACCTTCGTTAAGTGTCAACTAAACCAACTATAACTTTTATCGCGCACTTGATTCAACTTTAGCTATAGGTATCTTCTCTCTTAATTTGAAATAATGATAAGTATACAACTTTTTCAAAATAGTGCATGTACACTGTAAAATAGTGAATAATATACACTATTTTAACGGAGAAACAGGCTATTTCACTATTCCAAAGTTGTATACTTATTTGAACCAGTAAATATTCACTATTTAACCAAGTCAACGTTTCTTCATTTAAATAAGTTGATTAACTTGTTGTTGGTATCACTTGAAATAATGTGTGTGGGTTGTACAATTATTTTTATTTGGATAAAGAAGATCTTCGTTGGATTACTGATAAATGTTTGGAATTGAAATTTATATCGACTGGGCGTGAATAAACGATCCTAATTTTTCACTATTTCGCCAGTGAAAATGTTGTTCACTTTCGCAAATAGTGAAATTTTCACTATTTCAAATTTAGAGAGATTCGATCATATTTTTGTACAGCATAGTCATGAACTAAGTTCGAGACAGCGATTTTTAATTTTCTCCGATAAACCCTCAACTTTTGTTCCGTGTCCCATCAACATTTTTTAAAAGACTAAAGCACTTTTTTGTTTTTGTTAAATATAAAATAATTTACCATTTGCTTTCACCCACTGCAACTCGTGCTCTTGGTTTCTCCTTGTTTCAACGTAAGTATCTATTTAAAGAAAAAGAAAAAAACAGACAAGACATTGAATGCCGGGAAAACAATACATGATTTACATAGTTTATTCTCTGAAATATCATATTCATCTCTTAAGATACCTATCATACAACCAACATACTTTGGTAATAATTCCATTAGAAAGAAAAAGAAAAAAAAAACACACACACACAATCCCATTTTTTTGCGATACAAGGTAATCACGAAATGATTTACGTGAGCGAGATGTTAATCGTATCATCTAATTGTTCATCTAGCGTTGGATGCAACATCGAGTTCATAACGACTTGAGTAAATCTTTGATACAAATAATGGCATTGCACAACACCCCGGCGCGCATCGTTAATCCTCCCCGGAGACACGTCTGACCTAACACCGCGTCCGCAGTACGCGAAATGGGTATTGATATCGGGCGACGCGATTCACCCCACTTTCCCGTTCCTCGTAATTTCCTCAACTTATTGGACTTTTCGTTTATCCAACTGCGCGAGTTTGGGATTCCAGTGGTGGGCGTTGAAAATTAATCTGTTACGGAAATTGATTTCATTTCTTTTTCTTTTTTTTTTGTTGTTGCATGATGCATCGTTATTTTTTTGTTTTTCCTACGTGCAGAGTGACTGTGCCAGAGATATTTCTAAAAGGAACGCCTATATACTTGGTGCTGGGCTCAACTCTTTTACACAACATTCCAAATCAAAGGACGTAGTGCCGTGGGAGCGAACCACAAAAAGGTTACTACTGCAACAGTTATACTATTACACACTCACGCACGTCCCGAACATTTTTTTATTTTTCCTTCCTAAAAAACTTTGTCTATTCGCGAGTTGCTAAAAAATGTCGAAGAAAAAAAAGCCACGCGAGCAATTACTAGACTCTCATTCGCTTGAGGAAAGGACAATGTATCCTTTACATCCAATCGCTGCCCGCTCGACTTTCCAGCTAAACTCCCGATTAGTATATATACAAACGGCATGTTGGTAAGTACGCGTTAAAATACGCAAAAGGACCGAAAAAGAGAGAGAGAGAGAATAAACGATGTCGGCGACGTTTGAGCTCGAGTGAGAAAAATAGACTCTTTGATGGAGCAAAAAAAATAAAATAAAATGAACTTGATGGCGTGAAAGTGAGAGAGACTTTGGTATGTTGTGCGAGCGGATAAAACTACACGATCGACCAACCAACTAAAAAACAAACTATGTAAGAAATTTACAGGGCTGAGATATATTATATACGAGAGACTAGAAGAAGAAGAGATGTAAGCAAGTGATATCATATCAAGAGAAGAGATATTGGAAATATGGGAAGGATTGGTACAGGGACGTATGGGTAAATCAATGAACGTGTACCTCTCAAATCGGACCTAGATAAACATTAACCTTTTTCTCAACACGCGCTCCACGAAGCTACTAAGCAAAGTTTAATGCAATCGTAATTATACATCTATAAAAGGACAGGTGGTGGTCGAAATTTTCGTTAGGTTACGTTGTTGGCCCAGTATACTATAGGCTTAGATGCTACCCGGAAGCACACCCTTATACAAATCTTTTAGGATTAAATAATCCGCTGGTATTAAATTACAGTCCAGATCACTTTATCATTAAAAAAGCAAGAAAAAATTGGTTAAAGATTGTGCCTTTTACGTATGAGCTGTTGTGGTGATTTGGCTTGTTTGGTATACAAGAAGTGCAGTGCTCTCTATGAAAATCATACATCTCAGTAACATCTTCGATTGTAAGTATGATCAATCAATTACTCAAAAAAGTGGTTAAATATGTCAATATTAATAAATTTCTTTTCAATAACAGTTGACATAAGAATATGTACTTGATTTTTTGAAGTTTATCGCGTACGTAAGGCTACGTGTAAAACTTTGGAAGCAATTTGCTCGAAAATCGTATCGATGAACTCGGTATTTCCTTACTGCAAATAAATTAAGCATTTTATCAATATAATTTCTAAATTTCATAGACTTGTTTCATGCATTTTAGAATAGCCGAAGCCACCTTAAGCTTATACTATTGTCCTTGACATTATTCGAAAAGTTGCTAGGTACATATATATATATACCTCTAAATGGAATTTCACGTTTTTGTCACCCCATGTCACGGGTATCATTTTCACACTGATAACTCCAATTATTAATATTTCCGGATGTAATTCTACGTTCGAGCGACCTTTGTTCCCGTCCGCGGTGCATACACGGTTTTCCGTATCCCAAAAGCGTCCACAGGAAGCAAAACTTTCCAAAAACATTTTTGGTAAAAACACTTTTGAAGCATTTATAAGTTTAAAAAAAAAAATTACCTTGGGCAGAAATATAAAAATCAACAACTCTATGCAAGAGTCAAAGTTGAAGCCATCAACTTTTAAAACCAACCATTCGTTGGAACTCCGGACGAAAATCAACGACGTGATCCAAATCAGTTGAGCCGAACGCGATCCCGTGATTTTCACGTCCATGCAAGAACTACCTCGAAAATTGTATTGTTATGCCCATTCGTTTCGACTTACGGTCGAGCTTCCGCGTGACTCGCGAACGACTCACGGTCGCTGAACTCGACCGAATTATTCCGGGTCCGCGTAAATTAACGTTTCGACGGACGTGCCCGATCGAACGCGCAACTGCCATTACTTTCGTTTTAGATTGATTTAGCCGGGTGGGGATGAATTACGATACCCCAGTGGTATCCGCTACGAGCGCGGTAGACGTGACGGATGGCATCGGAGAGGAAAAACAAAAAAAAGAATCTTAAAGTAATAAATATTGGATTATCTTTCATCATCGCTTTCGTCGGTCAATTAAAAGAAGAAGCAGAGTACCAACTAGTAAACTCGACGTAAATTGGCGTGTACGTGACAACGTTTTTTTCTCGAAAATACAAATGTTTATCTATATAGTCCGGGCAGTGTAGGTACATAGGGATGCTAAAAAAGGGAGCTTAGAGAAGGAGGGGGTGGAGGGAAGAGCTGGTGGTACGAGAAAATTGAAGAGTAGCCGAGAAAGTAGAGCAAAGAGAGAGAGAGAGAGAGAGAGAGAGGGGTAAGGAAAGAAAAGAAAAGAGACAAAACGTATAATCATCAGCGAGTGTACGAGTGGCGGTGCATACTTACGTCCAGTTAGAGGGTGCATCAGAGCGGGGTGCGAGGTGGCTGCTGCAGCGGCTGGTTGCTTGGGTTTGCTAACCTTTGTGTTACTTTTTGCAAATTCCAAACGTATGGTTTGTGGCATGTCAGGATCGAATCTAACCCCCTGCTGCAAAGATAGAGCCCTAAATTAGTAAACTGGGGTGGGAAAAGTGTCGGTGGGGGGTGATTTTGGTGGTTGGGCTTGTGATTTTTTTTGTTGGATTTTTCAGGTATAATACTTAATTTACACGTGTAAGGGTATCATACATGGAAATATATGGTAGGCGCACACTGTGCTCATACCTTGTATAAATCACATACTGTGAGTATATAATATAAGTATACCAGAATCGTTAAACGGAGAGTATACGTATATATACATACTTGTGGTGCAGTTCAAACTTGTTGTTGGTTGTACGGGATAAGAGTATGGTGCAAATTGTACTTTGATCTTTTTCCCTCTCTCCTCTTTTATACGTACGTGCGGTTTTTTTTTTTTTTTCATCGCAAGCTCTCAAGGTCGATGAAAGTTTTTTCGCTTTTCGACTTTTACGAGAGCAAAATTTATTTTCAATGCAATACCAGCTTAAAGCTTTATTCTGTTTTTTTTTTTTTTTTTTTTTTTTTTTTTTTTTTGTTGTTTTTCATAGCTCGTCCTTTATCGAAATTACCATCACGTACAAAAGCTGTTCATGTGCACAAACGTGGAAAATATAAGTATAGAAATGGCATTGTATGCTTCATCGATTCAACGATGACGTAGTACGTACACATAAATACGTGCTTTCGCGTTTTACGGACGGTAATACAAAAGAGAAAGAGGGAGCAAGAGAAAAAAAGTTAGTTTTTTACGGGTATCTATTTATTGATTGTAATTGTGTGTATGTAATAATACGTTTTTATATATATGCGTGATCTTTCAGTGGGCTTGATTATCAATTGTGAGGTAAAGAGGAGGAGCTTACATACATATGCAGTATATGCGTAAATATAAAGTACAAAGAAAAACAAAAAAAAAAAAAAAACGTGAGCCTCTGGTTCTCGGTGTTTAATCGAGATTGGCTCGCTTCTTCGTTCATCTCCGAGCGAGTTTCCAAAAATCCATTGTCCCCCAGTCGGGTGGTTGTGCGCACATATTGTAATGAATATACAAATGAATATATATACGAATTTCTCTCGCGCGCTCGTTTATTATTATGGTTGCCCATTGTTTCTCGGCTATGCAGCTTAGTTTTTTATTTTATTATTAATGGCTTTACCGAAACAAAGGGCGATCCGCAACTTTGTTGCAAAACGCGTTTTCAAATTCGTTTCGGGGGGGGGGGGGTAAGGTCGTTTCGGAAATTCGCTCGGACACTCGGATGTTGTGGTACAAGTGGTGCGACCAAAGTTAATAATGCCAATCGATACTGCATTTGTAGCCGTGCAAGCTGTTTGTCATTTCGTTCGAAATTCGTCGTGTAGGTATACATGGAATTGCTTTTGCACTGCAAAAAGTACGAGTACAGGAGAGAAAAAGCTTGCACGTTTTTTGCTCTAACAACGCAATACTTTGTTAGATAACAATGTATAAACGATACGGGGAGCAAACGGTTGTCAAAGTATGGAAAAAACCAATAGCTGGTGTCTACGAGATTTAGGCAACTCGATGATGCTGGACATCTACAGGGAGGATAAACGTCATGGTTGCAAAATAGTAATCATTATCGCATGGTGTGAATAGTATAGGTGATTCAAGTATGTGTGGAAAAAAACTGCATACGATGTCAAATTGTGTAGGGTATACAGGAGGCAAAAGAAAACAGAGAAAGAGTTAAAGAGGGTCGAGGGAAGGGGGTGCTGAGGCGCGACGTATGACGGGCGCGTCTTATCTCCCGCGGAAGAGTACAGCTCAGAAGAGAGTCTACATTGATTGATTTTTCGTTTTTTTTTTTCCTCCCCCTTTCGACATCAGAGCCGAGGAGGGTCGGGCTTTGATGTTGATGTTCACGGCTTTATGGAAGCTCGATAAGTTCGCTTCTGTGGTAAGACCATGTTTGAGGGGGTTGAAAATTAAACTTTTTTTTTTTCTTTCCAAATTGTGTTTGGAATTGGTCGAACGAGAAAATATACATGTATCACGGGTATTTTGTCCATGTCGAGCTAAAGTCCAACAGCAGGAACGAAATTTACCTGAAGGTCCTGTTTTGCAGCCTCGGCGCCAGCCCTCGTGTGAAAGGTCACGAAGCCCACCGGCTGAAAATACAAAAAGAAACACGTCGTGTCGTTCATATTTTTTTTTTTTTTTTTTTATCGTGTTGCATAATATTAAATTTTAATGAAAAATAGTTGCATTCAAAAATTATTCTCTAAAAACAAAAAAAAAAGTTGGCTGAGTACAATTACATTGCGTTATGCGCTATATCGTGTCCTTAAAATGGCTAATAATACGAAATAAATTGTACAGTAATCAACTTATGCATCGGTCGACGAGTAAGAGACGAATGAATATTACATTTTCATAATGGCGGTCGGGTATAAAGTAAATGCTACCATTAAGTGAATCGATTGCAGTTTAATACTATTAAATTGCCTTGCTCTACATTTTCCTCCTTTCTTTCTTTCTGTACGTGTATAAAAGCTTTCGGTGTGAATATTTCAAATGTTTTTCCACAAGCCGAGCGAAGTTTTCGCATCGATTTTCCCATTCTATTGTTATCAGCGATGAGGTAGAGCTTTCAGTTGGTCAAGCGACACTATATGTCTCTGTTATCCAGCAAATGAACTGCTCTTTGGATCTGATAATATTGTTTTCTATAGGTATCGATAAAATCTATAATTACGTATTATTCGGGCAATTAAAATTAAGAGTTAATTAGGAGGACGATAAAGAAATATAAGCACAAAAATCTAAAGTTTTACGTGCTCTTATTTTAACGGAGAGGTTATTTCATTTCATTAATCTAGAGCGAGTTTATACGTTTGTGAATTTTCCAATCCAATGATTGAGAAGTGTGAAAAATTAGTACAACTCACATGAATGTCAGTTTTTCAATACTCACTAACAAGTGGTTTTTTAAACTACAAAAGTTAATAAGTTGGAAATGGTCAGAATCAGTTTATATATAATTCATTGACAGAAAAATTCGTATGGCGATGTATTTTACGTAATTTGAACTAGAATTTTTGTTCGAAAAAAAAGATACAGTAAAAAATAAATACATTTTTTCGCAGTGGATTAAATAAGACATTATTTACTCTGGCTTCTGACACATATAAATTATCGTACTTCAAGCTTTTGAAACAACAAAATCCAGTAATCTTTATCCTCCAAGCTCTTATAATCTTGAAACCTCGTAAGTTTTATACTTCAAGCTTTCATAACCTAAAAATCTAGTGAGTCTTATACTTTAAGCTGTTATACTCATAAAGCCTAGAAAAATGTTATCCTTCAAATACAACCTCAAATGCAAGTAAGTTTTGTGCTTCAAGTTTTAATAACCTCAAAACCCGGTAATTTTTTCCTCGAAGATTTCATAACTGAAAAACCCGGTAAGCTTCGTGATTTAAACTTTTATTACTTCAAACTCTATTAAGTTGCATATTCTTATAACTTTAATGATTCATGCTCTTGTAACCTCAAAACCTAATAAGTTTAATGCTTGAAAATCTTACAAAGCTGAAACTGGGAATTGTTATTCTCTAAACTCACATAACCTCAAAACCCTGTGAGCCTTATTCTCAAGTTTTCATAATATAAAAATCTAATAAGTTAAACGCTTTGGGCTTTTATAGTCTCAAAACTCAGAGAATTTAGGTTAGTGAGTTTTTGGGTTCAAATTCATTGCATTTCTAGGATGTATGAGCTTGAAAGATAAACGTCAGTGGATTTCGTGATTATAAATGCTTGAACCATGAAACTTACTAAATTTCAAGTGTATGTTAGCTTGATCATGTAACTTACTAGGTTTTAAAGGTTATAAATATAGGCACATGAGAAATGCTAAACATAGACGTATAAGAAAAGACGGCTCATCCCCATGGACTGCGCTGAAGCTCACGTATAGAAGGGAACGTTTCATCGAATGTGTCTGTCTCATGCACGTAGCAGACGGTGAGACGGTATGGGAGTTTTTATTGGTTTTAGTCAGGACATTTCCTTATTGCCCCCTACACCGTCGGCCATGTGCTATACAAACAGGCACCCACGCCCGGTGATGTATATTTTTTTCTACCTGAGGCTTAGCGTATCACATTGGGATGAGCAGTCTATTTTATGTGGATATTTCCATGGTTATGAGAGCTCAATGCATATTACACTCATCGAGGGTTTTTCAGTTAAGAAAGCCCGAAGTACACAACTAATTGCATTTTGAGGGTCTGAGAGCTTCGGGGATAAGAGTCACTAGATGTTTAGGTTACGAGAGATTAATTTTGAAGTAAACATTTGATTCAACCGACTTTTGAAAGAAAATCCATACACTTATTCTGAATTAAAAATTATAGCTAATGAATTTAACGATAGGTATATTACATTACGGTCCTGAAAACTAAAAAGCGCAATGGATTTCACCAAAATAAATGTTTGGTAAACTATCAGCTAACTACCTTTTGGATTATTCGGTTATGGTTTCTCGGACTCAAGAGCTTAAGTAGTAGTATTATTGTTAATCTGAAATTAGCAGCCGGCTCTTCTAATCTTACAACGCATAGAACCGTTTTTAAAAATTATGTTGTAAGATCATATAAATGAAACCGAAACCCTGTACACATAAAATTTTCCGTATAGCTCGTATAATAGTTGGACTTTAATTTGTTGAGCGGGAAATTGAATCATGAATTACCATCGGCTGGTTCCATAACATAACCTCTCACATTAGTGTCCGGACAATATATTGCCAGATGTCAGCTATTTCAAAAAAGCACCCTTCACAGCGTTGACCACACGTTCAGGTACACAGGGAGTAAAACAAAAACGAAAAGTAAAAAAAGTGCAGCGGCCGATATCGTTCTTCGAATTTCTGGCAACCGGTTCGCTGAACAAATGATTCAACAAATTCTGACAAGCCCCGGTGCATGAAACATTCACGAGTATATCAATTATTGAAGATTTCTTGGCTCGGAGACTCCCGGCTGCACCGGTTAAATATTTGAAAGGCGCGCGCGGGGCTCCCGAAAAATCGATTTTCTGCAAAAATTCCGCGCACGCGTCGGACCGGGAAGAAACAAATTCCCCCTTTTCCGGCTCTGCTGCTGGTTTTATTATTTTTTACCTTTCCCCCGTGCCTCTCTCATCTCATCTAATTCACTTGGCTCCAGCGCGCGAGATGGAAAAAGCGCGGCCAAGAGTCCGACAGACGGAATAATTGGTGCTCCGCGGCTGGGGTCACTGTACTATACTTTTGTACGTACACACCGAGTACGGCGGCTCTGTTCGGAGTCAAAAGGAGAGCGAGACAGGCCGGAAAGTGATTCCGGAAAATCCGATCGAATCTCCATCGTTGTGACCGCCGACTGCGATAGCTGCGACGACGACTATGGAGGTGCTTGCGGATAAAGAGTATCGATTCGCGAGGCCGCGTGTGCTCTTGGGTGGTGGTTGTACGGCGCTTATACGGTATAGGCGTATATAGGTGACGCGGTGGTCGGTCGATGAAAAAAAAAAAAAAAAAGTTCTCGATTCTGTTGTCAGACTTACACTGTCAGGTATCGAGTATTTTCGTTGTGGGAGATTTTACTCGTTTTCTCGGTAGACTTTTTTTTTTTTCTTTTCGACCTTTGATTCCGCACCTTTTTGTAAGCGGAGTATGCGATATTCATGGATCAGTTTCAGGCTGTCAGATTTGGAATAGTTATGTTCGAAAAATCGCACGAGCTGTCAGATTTGTTCCTATTTTTTCGCTACATCGGTTTTTGACGTTGGTTCATTTTGAATTCTCGTATTTCAATTTTTTACCAAAAAAAAGAGAAAATAATATCTCCATCACGCCCTTATTTCTTTATCGTCTTCCTAATACGCTATTTGATAAAAAACAAAATATGTACATAAACGTAAAAGTTTAATTGATCGAAGAGGAAAAGAATTGCCTGACTTGTTAGGAAACAAAAAAAAGCTATCGTGTCAATGTACTTACCGAGGCTGTCTTTCCATTTTTGTTCGTCACTTTCAGCAGAGAGCCTTCGTAGCCCTGTGAAACAGAAAAATTTATTGAGCACGCGCAACTTTAATTGCGTCAGCGAGACTTTTGTTTTTTTATTGAGATTTTTTTTCTTACAGTTACGACATTGATATAATTACAGCTTAATTATCGGGATGAAAAACAAGTCAATAGGATATTTTTTTTATTACAAAAGATTATTTCTTGCGTGAAAAATAATGCAACATCATCGGAAAACATCCCTCGAGGAATAAAAACACTTCTCTTTCTATGATGGAGACAATGATTTTTCAAAACTTAAAAAAAGTACCGTGGGTGCAAAGTGATTTAAGGGATCACAGTGATTTTTGTTACTTAAAAAACTACTCGAACTTACTTTTACAGTTGATTGACAAATGGAGATTAGATTAGGTTATGTCACTCAACTCTCGTACGTAAGTTATTTCATTATACATTTCCCAGACCCAGAATTGATTAGTGTGATTCATCAATCAAATCAGCGCCCGCACACATCTAATCTCACCAGAAAGTCCGTGAATATCTGTCCCCGAAGGAAACAGATAATGCAGCGTTCGATTTAGCCGTCCGTTTGTACTTCTTACCTCGTTCGGATCAAATCGTGCTGTATCAGAGTTGGTTCACCATTCCACGCATTCCTTATAACATCAGTTCCTTATTGTGCATTAAGCGACCTTACTATTTCTAACGTGTATATATATAATTATATAGATAGATAATTTTGTATTTGAAATATAGCTTCACAAAGTAAATCTTACTTGTGAATAAATGTTTACAATTGTTAGTAGTGCTAAAAATTAATATCTATGGATGCAGAAAAGGTGTCACAGTGAAGCATTCCTAATCAACGTGTGATTGTAAATAAAATTAAACTCAATTTTGTTCCATATTCAATCTTTACGAAATAATTTAGGAACAATGGATATTTTCTTTTATTATTCGACAGTTGATAAATTTTGTAATATTTCTTCATTGTAAACATCAGGCATAAATACGTATTTTCAAACAAAATCATCTAGGGGGCCGTCCATTAATTACGTAAACACATTTTTTCTTAATTTTGACCCCCCCACCCCCTACGTAAACTACAATAATAT